GATGCGGGACTCGATCCCAGGACCCTGGGATCATGACCTGAGCTGAAGGCAGTCGCTTAACCAACTGAGCCACCCAGGCGCCCTAAATAAAATCTTTTAAAAAAAAAAATTCCCTTCCTGGGGCACCTGGGTGGCTTAGCCAGTTAAGTGTCCAGCTCTTGATTTCAGCTCAGGTTATGATCTCAAGGTCGTAGGATCGAGCCCTGTGTCAGGGTCTGTGCTCAGTGAGGAGTCTGCTTGGGATTCTCTCTCTACCTTGGTGCTCCCTCCCTCCTAAATACATGCTGGCTCTCTCTCTCTCTCTCTAAGTAAATTTTTTTTTTTTTTTTTTTTTAATACTGAGTTTGGAGTTATAGTTCTGCCTCTACTGCTGAGTCAAGGCAGGTTTTTTCCACGTTGGGTTTTTTTGGAATAAAAGAAAAATGGATTAAATAGGCTTTTCTCAGAATTCTTCTTATGGAATGCCTTTCATAGTGCAGTATGTTTATGAGTGCCATATGAAAACATTCTGTGATTAATTAAGTATGGAAAACACTGGGTTAAGGCTTGATTATTAGATTTAATTATTTTTCAAGTTCTCAGAGCCTGTAACATACTATCATGTTCATGTTTCCCCAGACTTACTTGACTAGGAACCTTTTTCTAAAAAGCACAGTTTCTCCTAGGAATAGTGTTTCTCAGAAAACCAGTTTGGTGGGCCCAGTTGGTTAAGTGTCTGCCTTTGGCCCAGGTCATGATCTCAGGGTCCTCGGATCGAGCCCTGTGTCTGGCTCCCTGCTTAGGAGGGAGTTGTCTGCTCCCTCTCCCTCTGCCCCCTTCCACCCTGCTCATGTGCTCTCTCTCAAATAAATAAAATCTTAAATAATAGTTTGTAAAGATGCTTTTATTCCTATATATTTTCTCTTAATAATTTAGTTATGGATTATTTCAGATTATTTTAAAAATTATTCTTTTTAAAACGGAAAAAGTAAAATAAATACGAAAATTCATCTACGTAAGGACAATTACAATTAATATTATATTTTCTGTTTCTTTTGTCATAGGTATTGTTCTCACTAAGGTTGGTTACTATACTATTCCATCTATGGATGACCTTGCTAAAATTACCAATGAAAAAGGAGAGTGCATTGTCTCTGACTTCACTATTGGTCGTAAAGGTGAGTGTGAGCTTAGGAGTTTGTAGTATTTAAGCCAAAGATCTGCATCTTATTTTTGTAATTAAGTGAAAGAAGTTCTTGATAGCTGAATCCATTTTTTTCCTGTTTGGACCCACCTTGACCTGCATAGAAGACCCTTTGATTGACAAGTAACAAAAGACTAGGACCATATAACATTCTTTGGTAACTGTTTGGCTCATTGCAGCTTTCTGCAGTTAAAGAAAATACTATAAACAGCAAGAAAATACTAAGTGAGAAAACTGAGTAATAAGAGATGAATAATATTTAGATTCAGCTTCATATTATTAATAATTTAATACAGATGCAGTTTTCTTGGGGAAAAAAAATCTTACCTTGCTATATTGTATTTTAGAGAGGGCTCTCCAGCATTTTAGCTCATTCTCCAAGCTAGGTACTAAGTAAGGGTTGTTTATGTAGCAGTAGTACAGATACTTGGAAGAGATTTAAGAAAACTGTTTCGAAGATAAGTGCAGTAGAAATGTAGATATTAAACAAGATAACTGGCTTTGATGTCATCCTGTGATACATATTATGGATGAAATAACCCATTGATGGTATTGCTGGGTGATTTGATTAATGTTTAGGGCAGCCTGGCTGGCTCCTTGGTGGGACATGTAACTCTTGATTTTGGGATTGTGAATTCGAGCCCCATGTTCAATGTGTAGTGATCACTTAAAAATGAAATCTTTAAAACAATTAAAAAATAAAATATTGATTAATGTTTTAAGTTTTTTTTATTATTATTTAGTCACTGGAAAATAAAATAGATTATTTGCCCTCTGTACAGGATGAGTTTTTAACTATTTGCTTTGACTTACAGGTTATGGTTCAATCTATTTTGAAGGAGATGTGAATTTGACAAATCTAAATTTGGATGATATTGTGCATATTCGAAGGAAAGAAGTGATTGTCTACTTAGATGATAACCAGAAACCACCTGTGGGTGAAGGTCTAAATAGGTATGTATTTATTTACATATTTAGAAATTAGGGCGCCTGGGTGGCTCAGTTGGTTAAGCGACTGCCTTCGGCTCAGGTCATGATCCTGGAGTCCCGGGATCAAGTCCCGTTTCAGGCTCCCTGCTCAGCAGGGAGTCTGCTTCTCCCTCTCCCACTCCCCGTTTGTGTTCCCTCTCTCGCTGTGTCTTTCTCTGTCAAATAAATAAA